AATAGAATTTTCAGTGGATGAAGAAGTACAAATAAACCATAAGACACATCTGTCGCAGCTGTAAAGAACTTAAAAAAAAAGAAAGCAAATGCAATGTACAAAATGCAATGACAAGATAAGCCTATTTATGGTCAACACTCTGCCCGTGCCAAACAAGCAGATGTATACATCAGTGGTTATTTAGTGCAGGGTTAAAAGCTGAAACCGAAGGTTTTATTCTTTCTGCACAGGACCAATGATTGCTAACTAGAAAATTACCAAGCATACATACTGAAAAATTGTGTTAAAACAAAATGCAGATTCTGTGATAAATATCCAGAAACAATTGACCATCTTTTATCATGTTGCACGGTGTTAGCACTCACTCAATATGAAACTCGGCAGGATAAAGTGGGTCAATATCTGTACTGGAGAATATATAACATTTACGGAAAGGAAACTGCAAGAAACTGCTATAAACATCACCCAGATCCGGTTACGGAGATAAGACCTTTAACAATTTTATAGGATTTTACAATACACAGAGACAGAGAAAATCAAAACTAATCACCCAGACATTGTGGTCAAAAGCCACAAAAATAGAATGTGCTTTCTTATTGACATGGCAGACCCTGCTATATTGTAATGTGTCTTTGAAGATCTTTAAAAATACAAGAGGAAATCTCAAAAAATGTGGACATCAATAATTGCAGTTGGAGCCCTCGGAATGATTGAAAAAGGTCCCGATAGACTAATTGAAGGGGTTCCTGGTATTCCTAGTCTTAAAGAGATACAAAAAAAGCTTTATCTATGTAAAATGTTTAGTGGATGATGTCATGAAGCCATTTCTGATTAGGTCTCTAGTTGGAACCTGGAAGGAAATGTGTATACAACAAAACCCAAGCAAGTAATAATAATTTGATATCAAACACAAACATCACTTTCTGAATAAAGAAACTAATAATTTTCTCAAAACATCCGTAACAGTAAAACGTATTCGAGATCATTGCGAGCGATCCTTTTCTTAACTGTATAGTAGTGCTTCGCCAGGGTTATATCCAGTTTTGAATTTAGAATGGTTACTATAGAACGCAATCTGTCTTAATATTTTCCCATGGAAGTAGAAAAGTTTGTTTCCCTAGAGTATTAGCACGTAAATGAGTGTAATGAACACGACTGGAATTCGAACTCGGCTCTATCGATTGTACACAATCTGAGCCGCAATCCATTACTCTACGGTGCCTCCTTACGCTAAGTAAAAATACAAATTTAATGCTACAATTAGACTCCATGCAAAAGATTCCTTCATAAGACTACCTTGAAGTTAAATCTATATTGTTTTAGGTTCAAATAAAGACTCTAAAAATCTCCGCCCCCTCCATGATCATGGTGTTTTTATATATTGTTTTATACACACACACACACACACACACACACACACACACACACACACACACACACACACACACACACACACACACACACATAACTAAAATTTGTGTGAGGTAGAAATTTTACATTGAAATTTATTGGCGCAGAACTTTTTTACCCTGTAAAAGTTTTGGGGGGGGATTTTTTTTTTAATCCCGGTTCTGATTGAAATCCTTTCAGACTCTATTTCAAAGGAGTGTTTACTATGCATACACTTTGATTATCGATTTGCTCTCGATGTCAATATACTCCGATTTCAGGATTTGTTTTTCTTAGACATCAGTCGACTCTAAAGGAAACAAATTTAACTTTGAATTCTATTAATGCCAATCCGTTATCATACACCTTAATGAACCTGAGGTATTTAGAAGAAACAATGTTGAGGAAAACGTATGACAAAGTGGAAAGTGTGACGCTCTTCATGATTTCATCGCACTAAATTTGTTATGTTGGTAGGCATGCGCACGATGAAGAATGTTGGGAATTTTAGAATTGTTTTTAATATCTTACCGATTACATTTAGAGTCGTCTTCTTTTTCATACATTTCAACTTTGTCATACATTTTCCCCAATATTGTTCTTGATATATAAAAATATATATCATTATCTCAACAAACAATGTGCAATAATGGAAGAGAATAAAAATTCTGGCCAGTAATAATTCCTCACCAACAAATTTTCCGCTCGAATTCATATAAAACGTTCGTCAGAAGTTAGAAGATAGTTGAAGATATGGTCATGAATGACTGTAATTATTATTATTATTATTGTTGTTGTTGTTGTTGGTGGTGGTGGTGTTGGTGTTGTTGCTGCTGTAAGGGAAAAACAAAAACAAAGATATTGAAATAATGCGATGAATTTATTGCGGCCATTTTTTGTGGAGTGATACCCATATTTGTTGTTCAAGTTTCATCTGCTATCCACAGTTTAATAACTGTATAAAGCCGAGAGCAGTGAATTTGTTTTAACAGTAGTCGTCAGGTGCCTGAAAAGAGAAACATTTGGTAGGTATGGAGTGCGACATTCGACCCTACTGTCATTCATCACATTAAGATTGAAGGAGTTACATGTTTTATTTTTGTGCCATTTATTAGTCACTCATTTTTTTTCTTATTTCCTTTGTTTGGATAACCAACTTCACTTTTTTTTTCATTCCGCTCTCTTAGCTTCTGAATTTTTTTAGAAACTCTCAAAGAAAATTGAAACTGACAATTCTTATCAAAAAGGAACGCTAGTCCGCTATTTTGTTATTCTCGCTATCCATGGCATATGGCTCCAGCGTATGACAATTCAGCTAGTTGTGCTTTGGGACAGATCTACTGAAATCGTGCCCCTGTCTAAACACGACACAGTGTCATTATTTTTTAAAATAACTTTACCATATCAGCACAAAAATACAAGACAAACTCATTATATACATTCGAAATAATGTCCTAATTTTTTTCTTGCTATTATCAAAACCTGCTGTTAGGTCCTTCGGCTATCTTTAGCTGTCTGTCGATCCGGCTAACCTCAAGAGAATTTCGAACTGAACAATTTAGTTTAATCTATGCGTGTAAATTTTTCATTTTCTGCTGTCCATGATATCTCGTCTTGTTCCATTTTTAGTACGGTTCTTTTATTGATCGCTCTGTTTCTACCAATTCTGAGTTTGTTACCCACGGATTTAACTTACTATCACTATGCTACAAATTCATGAATTGATTCCATTCTTTTTTCAGTGACTCTAAGAGCTCTGCTTTTTCATTTTTCTTCTTTTTTTTTCACTCTTCTGTCAAGTTCAGTCCTTGCTAATTGTGAGGATGGCTCCAAAGTTTTGAACTCTAGTATATATATATATATATATATATATATATATATATATATATATATATATAATTTGAAACAAAAGTTCATTGCATTTTTCAATACATAAAATTTTCATGACATAAAATGATATTTTTACCAACGGCTGTGCAGAATCCTTTCTTTCTCAAGGACATATCCTGCTCTTTCCACTACTGTTTGTACTCTCCTGGAACTGACTGACGTCTTCTGTTTGGTTGAATCAGCTTTAGGTCTCTATATTCGTATAGGAACATCAGAGCGTCTCACAGTAGAAATGTTTCCACGTCCACTTCTCTCCTGTCCCAGTTTCTGCTTCTATTGACACTTACTTAGTAACTAATACCTTTTTAAATACATGTTCTTGGTTAAAGCCATGTAATCATACGTATCTATAATTCATATTTATGTAACCTGACGATGTGTTCTGCCCTCATTCAAGAACAATGCCCTTCTGAGATTAAATTGATTTACCCATATCTCTTAAGTGTGATAGAACACAACAGAAACTTTTTACCAGTTGATGGATTATTGATTTTCATTCATCTCATTGAACTCCTTTTTTTACAACAGGTGACAAAGATGAATATTTAAGGATATTTTATTAGTTGTGCTTAATTCGAATGTCTACCTGTCTAAGCACTAAGTAATTAGCGTTTTTGTCAGCGCCATGATTTTTAATTTTAATCTTACTCTGCAAGAGAAGCTGTGCCGCATTTTACCAAATTCAACAGTCACGTTCTTTCTCCACTTAAGGTTTGCAAAAATGAAATCCCATCAGCATCTCCTTGACAAAGAGCAACATGTTTTGGCTTGTAAACATTTTGCGCAAATATCCGATCTCATAAAATTGCACTGAAACGATCAGCTTTTGAATTTTTAATTCAAATTTTCTAATTTTTTAAATGGCATTGATTTTGAATATTTTGACTTAACTTTGATAAATTCGGTTTTCATCAAGTGCAAGATTTGTGGAAATATGAATGTTTTAAGTGCACTTTGCTGAGCGTTTGCCCTAAAAATAAACAAACATAAAATGGAATTGTTTATTCTCATCGTGTACAATGAACAACGAAAGCCTTCGCCTATTGAATTGATGAAACACAATTAAGATATGACGTTATCAGAAGATTAACCAATCAGCAAAGAGAGAAAAAAAAGACTTCACAGTATTTGAAAAAAGAGAACGGTAAAACGATAAAACCAAGAAATATATGTTTTTGAGAGATACATTAGAAAAATAAAAACAGCAAGCTAAAAGAAAAATCGCAAATGTAACAAAGAACAAAGCTTAAAGGACAAAGACTAAAAAAAAAGACTAAAGAGAAGAAAGCAACAAAAAGAATGTAAAGTGACCAAGTTCCGAAAAAAAAAAGAGATACGGAAAAAAACGGGGGAAGAAGAAAAAGTTAAGCTCAAAATTAATAGGATACAATTTTCGATTCAAAAGAGGCGGTGTATGCGTGAGATAGAGGCCGCATGTATGTGCGTAAAAAAGATACAGAAGAGATTGCATATGCATGTATAAGAAAGGGAGAGAGACTATATATATATATATATATATATATATATATATATATATAACTTCACAGACAGACGACTGTTCCGCTGTAATCACAGCTCCTCAGTATGGTTAGACGTCCTATTGCTTCAAACCGGAATCGAAACCCGACTGATATGACACCAGTCTTAACCTCAGGCCATCGTCGTGAGCGGAATTTTAACGTTTTTCTCTATACGAAATATGTCGTGTGTGCGCGCATAACAAATAGAAAAATGAAAGTTTATATATGTATGAAAGAGAAAGAAAGGAGATTCTTTACGTGTGCCTAAGAAAAAACAAAAGAGAGAAATGGTATATGCCTCCGTAAGAAAGAGAGAGAAGGGAAACTAAATAGGTGGGGAGAATAAAACTAAATAGATGGGGAGTATGTGTAAAAAGAAATAGTGAGCGAGAGGTAAGAGCCTGTATATGTGAACGTAAGAGGGGGGGGGTAAAAGAAGAGATTATATGTGTGCATGTTTGAGAGAAAGAGAGAAAAAAGACGCAGAGAAAAAATGTATATAAAAGGGAAAACACGGCAATATCGTCAAAGAATTATATTTGTTGCCAAAAACGAAGGTTTATTGATGTTTTCCATGTCGCGAATTGAAAGGACAAAATCCATTATTTGGTATCGATCAAATAATTGTATTTAATCGATACATTTCCTGGATTTTATGCCACAATATGAGGACGGATCATCAAATCTTTTGGGATTTTTATTGCCTGCGATACAAGATGGTGTCCCTGTTTTACAATGTAACAAACCACAGAAAGTCAATTTATTTTTTTTCTATTGGCATTCTTTATTTATTTATTTATTTATTTTGTCATCCATTCTCTTTCATTGCCGTTTCACTCTTGGGGAAAAGATTCATTCATTTTTAGCGTTTAATTTTTTTTCTAATCACTGATTTGAATGATTTTGTTTCATTATCACGAAAAACAAACACTTTAGAAAATGAAATAAAGTAACAAAAACTCATACACAAAAAACAAAACAAAACAAAAAGTCAACTTTTCATAAAGCCAATAACCACAACGAAAGCTTCTAGAAAAGCTGAATAACGATTTGAAAAATATTAGCGTAAAAGATGGTAAACATTGACATTAAAGCGAATCTTTCTTTCAAACAGTTTATAGTCCTGGTTATGACGATAAATTACATCCAGCAGGAAGGCGGCTTCTGATCGGGAGATTGGCGGTTTTGTGGAACCTCATCTTCCCAGGCCCAACAGTTATCTGCATACTCAGTACAAAAATAACTCGAAATTTTAAAGTGACCTCTATATTCAATCCATGGGGATAGATTATTCTCGTTACGTTTAGCAGATTATTACATGTCCGTTAATCCTCACAAGTCTTATTCACTTATGTGTCGCTTGTTTCCCGAAACCAGAGTTTATTATTTTTCTGTACTACCCGACCAGTGGGATTAACTCACAATTGTCAGAGAACCACGTATGTCTTAACGAACGCTTCAACACACTAGGCTTCAGCCTTAAACTTAATCTCTGAACTCAGGCGGTGCACATTTCTTTCTTTCTTTCTTAATCGTCGGTTCGCAGATGACATTCATTTCTAGGCCAGGCCTACCGAGGGAGTTGTCTCTTCACATATGATTCACCTGATTTCAATGTATCTTCTTATCGTATATAGTCGTTATGCTAACATGCCAGAAATTGGTTCTGGTATCCGATATTTTGGAGGGAACGTGACTCGTTATAAAAGTAGATTAACAGACAAAGGAAAGTTTGTTACTGGTTGTATATTAGAAAAAAATATTATATATATAGAAAATACATCAACAAAAATAAGGTTAAAGTTCACTAGATAACAAAACATCTCTGCGTGCTCATGTAGAGGTTGAGAAGAACTTTGTCCTGAAAAGGACAGTTTTGTAATCAGTGAAAGTGTTGTACTGAAAAGGAACGTTTATCACATGGCCCAGTGGATAAGAGCGTTGGTTGAAGCAATCCACTTTTATCGGAGGGACCATATATCTGACACAGTAAATAAAAGCGTTGACTTGATCCAAAGAGTTGTTAGTTCAATACCTGGTCACAGCAGAGGTGAACAAATTGTGGAAATGAAGATAATATAGCACGAGTAGTAATTTATATCTCCCTCCATACCGAAGCAGGGGAGGAGAACATTGGACATTGACGTGAGTAGAAATCCTCACAGTATTTAATATTGTCGAAGTTATCGCGAACATTTTTGTTGAGATTTACAAACTCTACGTTTCGTTCAATTTCGCAAAACAATCGATGAACTTTGAATAGTGATTTGTTTGGAAAAATACTTTAACAAAAATCCTATTTCGTGGCTTAATAATTTCTTTAATTTAATTTTGTAGAACTTCATAGTAAAGAAGATTTTTTAAGAAAATTTATTTTTATTCCTTTTCCCTTTTTAACAGCGCAGAATACATTCTTAGAATTTCTTACTCTCGACCATGCAACATACAACTGACCATGCATAAATATGTCTTTCTGGAGCCAAATTCCAACTTTTTCTGATTTGTTTATAGTTCTTGTGAACTGGAAAATGATATCTTGTATATTAAAAATTTAAAGAAAATGTATGCAAGAAACAATATTGAATTTTTATTGAATAAATATTTATTATTTTAATCATTAAATTGTTTTTAAAATAGTGAGTGTATTTTTTATGTTAAATAAAACTTTAATTTTTCCAAAAAAAACAAAAAACGATGAAAATTTATTGTACTAAGCTACGTACCCTAGTAAAACCAACTGTACTTTGTACCACCTTACCTGTTTGCAATTCTTCTAAAACTTTGGTTTCGATCAGTCAATGGATGACTATTTTAGACGGGCGAACGAACGGACGGAAGTCACAGAATTATAAATAGATAGATAGATAGATAGATAGATAGATAGATAACGTAAGCTACCAAATGATTGTGTGAAACTATTAAAAAGGTGCTGTAGTTAGCGTACGATGGCTGAAATCCATTGACAATAGCTTCGACCCTTAAAGCGATGATTTCCAACTTGCGCGTTAGCGACCCCTTGGAAGTGTTGTGAACTTTCAAGAGGACGCTAGATTTTCAAGGGTACTGTGAGGGAATCTGGTTATGTAAACAGGGCAGTAAGAAAATTTAACTCCTTTTTGTCAAATGCTCGAGTGGAGTTGCAGTTATCATTGTGGAAAGTAGAATCGACGAGGCGAGTTCAAATTTTAACCAAAATTGTTACGTTTGGAATCAGCATGCATCCTATAACCTTGGCTATGAGTTTCTAGTATTGGGTGGTAGCCAGTCTAGATGATGACTCTTAATTCAAAATCATGGAAAAGTCAACGAAAAACACTACTTGGGTTTTTTTTTTTCCCAAAAGTAATGGCAATTTTTTGATAATAAAGTAAAGAAAGGACGTCATATTTTCAAAAATTGCAAATGTGTATTTTTGAACAATGATTGGATGAAGACACAGCATTTTATATACGCCTTTCGTTTTATCTTATATATTTACATTTTTAAAGGCATTTTAATCATTTAGACATATTTTGCAATATTTATATGAAACAAAAACCTGTAAACCAAAATCCAGCAGCTTCAGTGGCCCGATACGGTGACCATAGTCAGCAGTTCCCACCATAAGTTACTTCCGGTGGTCAACACTCGACCTCGACATTAATTTTGGGCGCATCAGCTCTGCTCTTTTAACTAATGCAATTATCACCATCTCGCGCAAATATCTGAAAAGAGGCGATGAGGAAGAAATGTTTAAGAACCACTGCTCCTTTTCCTATGGGTGGGCAGTGTGGATTATGAATAACGGCTCGGAATGAGAAATCGGAGAGCCGAGTTCGTGTTCGTTATATCCACTTACGAGCAAATACCCTTAGGAAAGGCATGAATCCATCTCTTTTCCCTTAGTTAAGGGTTGAATAGCAGGCGTTAATGGGTCCTATAGCCTTAGTTGGCAACTAGTTTATCGCAGAAAGAAATGGCAACCTACTGCGGGAATATCTTCTGCTTACATGACTCGAAAAAAGACATGATTGTCCAAGCGTGTATCATGTATGGCTGACTGACACTATTTCCTTCTAAAGATCAATCGGTTCATTCCATCAAAGAAAACTGAAAGAAAAATTGCCTAATATATAATAAAACTAAATCATATTGATGATTATGACATATCCTCTTTACTGCTTTGGTTGTTCGTCAAGTTATTGGTTGTGTTTTAGATCCATGCAAATTAGCCAAAAACAACATTATATCTACAAGTGTTGTCGCTATGATAATCAAGGAGAAGAATAATGATATCGAAATGGAAGCTTCTGACTTCGATTAAAATTAATCTCATCAAAACGCCACTAGAGGACATATTGAAGATAAATGGAGCAGAGGGAAGTGTTGCGTAATCTAACTAACACGTTTGTGTAAATAGACAGCAAAATATAGACTAAAAGGGGGAGTAAAGTGATAAACATTACTTAGAGTTAGAAAAAGAAGTCGTGGAGAGCCATGGTCACCTACGTCCCAGAGAGACACGACACATGAAGAAGAATATTATGAGGATAAGGAGGATAGATAACGATCGGCTTTTAACTTGAAGAGGTTAAGATTGTAGCATTTAGGGAAGTGCCATGTAGGAAATGAGGGTCATTCAATTCTGATGACGTAGCATGACAATTTCGAGCTGTAATATGAATGTAAGAATATGATCATTGAAGCTTTTTAAGAGAAGATAGAAAATGCAACATTGATATCTGAATCCGCGTTGAACGAGCGAAAGAGAAATTTCAAATGCTAAGTAAGGTGCTGAAAAACAGGGAAAAATCGTTAGAAAGAAAGAAAGAGTGATGGACTGATATGTGGTATCCGTCATTATATATAACAGTGAATATAGGACAATTTTTCTAAGGATGAGGAAAAAACTAGAAGCTGCAGAAATGTGGAAAATTCCATGGACGGAGAGTGTAAGCAACAAGAAAATGGTAACAGAAAGAACACTTCTACTCAAAATCAGGAAAAGACAGTTGAAAATCCTTGGACAAATAATGAGGAAGGAAGACGGGACATATTAAGGGCAAGAGAGATAGGAAAAGATAGCGAGCCACTTAACTGGCGGGCTTGTTTGAATGGATGGAGGAATGGTGGTGATTACCAAAAGGAGAAAAATTGCTAAGAACCACACGAGATAGAAAGTTGTGGAGAACCATGGTACGCTACAGATAAAAGAAGTTCCACTCAGTAAATCACTAGATATATAGCAATATCCACAGATATCCATGGTACGCTACAGATAAAAGAAGTTCCACTCAGTAAATCACTAGATATATAGCAATATCCACAGATATCCATGGTACGCTACAGATATCCACTCCAGTAAATCACTAGATATATAGCAATATCCACAGATATCCATGGTACGCTACAGATAAAAGAAGTTCCACTCAGTAAATCACTAGATATATAGCAATATCCACAGATATCCATGGTACGCTACAGATAAAAGAATCCACTAGATATATAGCAATATCCACAGATATCCATGGTACGCTACAGATAAAAAAGTTCCACTCAGTAAATCATTAGATATATAGTAAATCCACAGATATCCATGGTACGCTACAGATATCCACTCAGTAAATATCCACAGATATCCATGGTACGCTACAGATAAAAGAAGTTCCACTCAGTAAATCACTAGATATATAGCAATATCCACAGTCACCATTTACACTCTTTCAAATCTTCTCAGTGAAGATATCACTTGGATTTGTCTCATTGACAATTCCGTTTATTGGTATTTTTCCTTGCTCGTTTTTACTGTTACTGCAATTACATATATATAATACTCACTTCTTTCAGATTTTTAAACGAAAAAGTTATGTGTGCGTATTATACACGAGAACTAAATATTAACTTTTTCTGGTCATGTGCGTTACCATATTCGGGAAGTTACGACAGAAAGTAAGTTATATGTATATGTGGCGAAGTTTTCATTGGACTTTGAATTGACTAATCAAGAACTAGTAAGAAGGCGAGTTTTCCCAGTAATAATGGAGTTTCTTCCTCCAACATTTTCGTCTTGGTAGCGAGCGGATGGTCAAAAGAAATGGCTAGAATAGGGCAATTCTCTCACTCACTTTGCTCCATCACTGACGAATGGTTAGCAACATTTCCCTGTTGCAGACAATAAAATGTTAACCAATACAAGCTTCATACTTCATACATTGTACCATTTATTATTAGAAGCTTGTCGAATAGATGGCAGTGAGAAATCGAGACGGTGCGGTGACTCTGGAGTATTGGCCTGACGATCGTAGTTCGCCGAAACACCTCGTCAAACATAATGCAAACCACATAAATTCATATTTTAGTCGATACAAATCGGATTAAAAGTTGAATAATATAGCTGCTGCAAATTCTAAAAAATCGGTGCGTATTATACAAGAAATATTTTATTTTTTCTCAATTTTGTAATTTTTAAGTGACACGTGCGTTTTCAGGATGGTCGATTATAGGTTTAAGATGAGTTAGGGGAGCGTATTATACACGAATAATTATTACATTTTATATAGTTTCTTATAGTTTCTCTCCAGGTTTTACCAGAGGACTTCATTTGAACATTTGAAAGTATGTTTTACTTTTAAGTTCACATATTTTTTTTTAATTTAGACAATTTTTGTCACATGTTTGTAATAAAATATGTTAATTTTTCTTGCTTGAAAATCAGTTTAAAATATTTCATTTTATCTACTTAATATATACGAGGCGCATTCCAGAAGATATGATATTTTCTTTTTAGCAGAGACAGTTACAACTATCCTAGATTACTGTAATTTTTGTATATCATTAATATATATATCTAATAAGTTGGCCTGCCAACTTCTGTTATTCCATATTAAAGGAGACAGTTGCAACCATCTCTTTGAACAGATCCCCTACGAAACAATGCATGTCACAGCTGACTAGTTTGCAGGATGCTGCAGTCGGGGACGTGAAGACAATTTGGAAGCTCGCTCTGCAATAATGTTGACAGAGATGGACATCAAAAATGTCTCTCGTCTGCCCTATAGTGTTCTGTGTGATTTTTGGTTGTTTCCCCAAACGAAAGAAGGACCTCAGGGGTAGTCGTTTTGAAGACACTGAAAAGAAAGAAGGAGGCTGTGACAAGGGTCCTGGACACCATCACTTTGGGTGACTTTCAATGACAAAGTGGCTGGAGCGCTACATTGAAGTCAGACTATCCGACTTTAAATGGGATTAGAGTTTTTTTGTACTTCTTTGAAATTAATAAGAGTTTCTCCTGAAAAAAGTCTAAAAAATTCTGCAATGAACCTTGTCTTTATTGGTTTTCCTGTATTTTTTTTCTCTCTTATTTTATTCATAATCTTCTTTTTTTACTTATCTATCTTTTTCTAGTTTGCTTCTGTTAAATTTTGCTATGAATCTTCTTTAATGAATTTGTTCGATTTTAATGATATTTTATGAGGGATTATTGAAAAGTTCTCAGCCCGACCAAGAAAAATTTTCCAGTTTGTTATTTGATAAGATTCTCGGACTTGAGTTGGGCGGAGAACTTTTCGGCACTTGTGATATATCTACATATATAGTTACAATAAAAGTAGAAAAACTTATACGGACTTTATTGCAAATGTCTAGTGTAAAAAATCACTTTGATTTTATTTGTTTTTACGGTTTATCAACCTTTTTACAGTGTTGGGGAAGGGGATAGCAGTTGAGGCAGGATGATTGAAAGACAATCAAAGATTTAGAAACAGTTTAAAAATATATGCCAAAAATAAATATGATTTCAAAATTTTAAATATTATTATGGATGATTTGTAATTGCATGAATGAATCCCAGTATAGTTATAAATAATTATTGACAGATTTTATTAGTTCTACTTTTGCATTACATCGAGTATTAAGAATATAATAAGATCCGCGATTATTTCCCTTAAACTTTTAAACTGTTTTCTTTTATTTTTAAACGTACTTTTTATCACATACAATTTGGTGAGGCGCGATCAAATTTTCATTTCGAAAATGCGACCCAGGAAAAAAACAACAATTTGGAACGACTGATTTAACTTAGTTGGAGTTGGGAGATGGATTCATACCTTTCACAAGGGTAATTGCACGTAAGGGAATTTCGAACTCGACACTCCAATTTCTCATTCAAGTCGTTATCCATTACACCAACCGCACACCCCTGTTCTCTTGTAAGGAAAATTAACATTTACATGAACTCGCTATGTGAAGCGAAATATTGTATGAAAATTCGATCATCAGAGCGCGTGAAATGTATTGATTCAATATGATAAAATCTATTTAACCCTGTCAAAGAACATATTTTATACAATTGCTCACCCAATACAAGACTCAATAGTCATTCAAGATTGATGGTCATTAAATGACTACTTTTGTGTACTTTTTAAAATACAGGTACATATAAGACTATACAATAAAATGCTATGGATTAATCTGCTTTTTTATGAAAAACTTATTTAGAGTGGTTCGCCAAATTTCTTCTGATCTTCATATAATTGGCGGTACAGAGAATTTGTCCCTTCAAATTTTCCAAACATATCATAATCTGACATTTTAAGCTGAAAATTTTAAGCAAAAAGTTCTAAACTTAAATTTTAAGCTTTTTAAATTTAAAAAATTTTAATTTTTAAAAAGCTTTTTAAGTCTTTAAATTTTAAGCTTTTTAAACTGAAAATTTTATTCATAATCTTTCCATAGTAAATGCACACATCTTTTATATTTCGATATTTTTTAATAAATGTAAATTTCTGCATCTAATTAAATCGTTCATTTTTTTTTAACAAAAGATCAAAAATTTCATTTCAAGACCTTCAAAATAAACATAAAAATGTCAAAATATTTAAAAAAAACTTAATAGAGAAAAATATTCAAATATGTATTTTTACTCTCAGCTTATATTATAAAATTTATCCATTTATAACCGTCCATTTTTTTTAACACTACTGTAAATACTTAGATAACGTCATACTTGACAAACAAAATCGTTACCCATTTTCCATTTTTAAATTATATTTTTTTAATTAATCGGTAACTATAAAACATCGATTTTCAATTACTATGGTTAAACTGAAGAATGTTTTACCACATAAATCGAGTATTATGTATGCACTAATCAAATTTTGGTATATAAAAATGTTAGCTCACTAATCGAAAACGCATTAATCGATGGATTCCTCTATACAAGTTCCACTTAAGTTCTGGAGTGAATTTGAGGTCCAATCCAAGTTTCAGGCAAGGAGCCTTATGGCTAGAGAAAACGCAGTGTGCTCTGTGATGTTGAAACATTATTAGCTTTGTTTTGGAGGTATTGAATAATACAAAGCAGTATCTTGTCCCATTGAGCCATATTAGGTCAGAGGATGGAACTTTCCTATATTCTTTCTTTCTCTCCTTTGAAATAAATGTAACTTTATCATTAATTCTAACGTTAAAACGCGAGTTTTGTTGGTTTCCAAAACGAATGAACAAAATAGATTCTTTCCCACGCATAAATCTAATTGTTTCCTTTTATTATATCATTTACTTCCGAGTTAAAGTCTTTTCAATATTTACGCTGAATATGAATCTAGTCAAGTTCGATGTTTAAAAGCAAACGTAAACTGAATAATTTGAAACATTTCACGTTTCTATGCTGTGACATGTTTGATTATTCAATAAAATTTCATTAAATGATATTATGAAATTTTGTATCGCGTTATGATTCATTTTCATATATCAAACATATGTCGACCTCGTTCGAATATTATTAAGCAAAGAACAAACGTCTTTAATCTGTAAACAAGTAACATTGGAAGATTAAATGTGTTGACTTCAAAGGACGCAGAAAAAAGAAAAAAAATCAATTTTGTTGAAATGATAGAATCGTTGAAAATCGCTGAGTAAGCCAAGCACGCGAAACAATTTTTGACCAATCAGATTTCGTCAATTCTAAAGCTTCGTTGGACCCATCTAAAATCATATTTATCGGGTCGAACTGATATTTATAAAGCAAATTCAGTAGCTCACTAAAGATGGTAGCAGGCAGATGACAGTTGATTAACCACAGAGTGACCATTTACACAATCTTCAGAGAGGATCGCTAACATTGTAGAGCGATTAAGTTAGCCCCAGAGTCCTGCAGCTGTTGTTGACTCTAAATCATAGTATCTGACATTACAGATATTTACACCCTTTTTACCGATGTCAAAAGTACTCAGCGGCACCTGCTATGCACTTTAGAACTTCGCTCCTGCCAACAAACCATTTGACGCACTCAATCAAACGCTTGACACTATTTAAACAGCAACAATCTTACAAATAACTGTCATTAAATTAATTTATTAAACATACTTTATCTTATAATTCATTCTTCCCTTACATTATAATAACGACTCAGTGTCTATTAATTGAATACTACATACGTCACAAATATACTTACCTTCTCTTAAATTGCGTATGTTTTTTTTGGGGGGGGAGTATAATTCAAACAGGTAGAGGCCAGTGGTAAAGTGTATGAGAAAAATTCTCACGTATGTAATAAATCACTATCTTACAAGGTGAAAACAATCTGAGCAATAGACTTTCTCCTAATCAATTTCTATTATTCATAAAAAGACGAAGGACGCCAA